TCCAGCTGATTTTCAGAAGTAGAAAATCACACTGGAGACCCATAGAGCATCTAGTGGATTTGAGCCATGTACCTCTGTGTTGGCATCGCAGTTCCTTAAAAGTAAGCCACAACAGGGAGCTCGGTGATTTGGTGTTAAGAAGGTATACTGCAATCTCAAAGACATGTGGTTTGAATCCACCAGCTGCTCTGTGAGAGAAGCATGGGCAGTCTCCTCCTGTGCAATTTACCGCTTCAGAAAACCCACGGGGGAGGGTAAGCTATGAGTTGGTTCTGACTTTACTGCGTCCAACAACAGCAAGCCATCACAATCTGATGGATCAACTATTTGGGAATGGGAACAAGTATGGATCTCTTCCAATCAGTTGGCCAGGTAGTTAACCTCCAGATTTCTTGGCACAACCTGGTGAGCATATCCAGAGCTGCATCTCTTTGTTAAAACATATTAGTTGGTATTCCATCTATTCTAGGGCCTTAATGTTTGCCAAGGCTTTCAATGCAGCTTGAACTTCTTTTATTACGAGTGGTTCTTAATCATATGCTACTTTCTGAAATGTTTCCGTATCAACCAGTCCTTTTTGGTACCGTTACTCTTGTGTATTCCTTCTGTCTACTTGTAATGTTTCCTGCATCATTCAAGATTTTGCCCATTAGAACCCTTCATTATTACAGCTGGAGGCTTGTATTGCCTTCTCAAGTTTTTTCAACTTGAAATATCCAGTGTGGTCTTCCCTTTTGATTTTCTAACTCCAGCTCTTTGCACATTTTTTTTTATAATTTTTTGCCTTGTCTTTTCAAACTGCTTTTTGAAATCGTCTTTTCATCCCCTTTACCTCAGCATTTCTTCCCTTTGTTTTGGCATTTGTACATTCTAGTGTAATTTTTAAGATTTCTTCTGACATGTATTTTGGTCTTTTCTTTCTTGTCTTTGTCGTGGATAACAGAGGAGCACTATTACATATAGTTCCAGAAATAGAACCCCTCAAATTGGAAAACATTAAGAAATGAGGAGAAACTGCTGCAAACATCCAATAATAATTGGGACACAGAATGTACAAAATATGAATCCAGAAATATTGAGAGTTCTCAGAAATTAAATGAAATACATAAAGACCAATAATCCTAGGCATAAAGATCAATATCCTAGGCATTAAGGGAGGTGAGATGGATGGGTATTGGCTGTGTTGAATCAGGCAATCCTATGATCTATTATGCCATGAATGACTTAGAAGAGTATTGCAATCACAGTCAAAAAGAACATTATAAGAGATATCCTGAAGTACAGTGCCATGAGAGGATACTGTCTATGCATATAAGGAAGACCTATTAATACAACTATTATTCAGATAATAATTGATGATTGAAACGCAAAAGCTGGAAACAAGAAAGACTGGTAGTTGAAAACTTAAGGACTTGGTAACAGAAATGAGACTTGAAATTAAATGATTGAATTTTGTACAAAGAATTATTTATTGCAAATAGTTTTTTTAAAAAATAAGTACATACTTAAACCATGACTACATACATGGGCCTGACCTGATGGACTACACAGGAATCAGATGATGATATTGGAAAGAGACGTTGGAGAAGCAGCACAGTATCAGCAGTAGCGACACTAGTGAGAATTAACTAAAACAGAGGTTTCATAACACAGTATGTAATATGTGTTGCTATTTCAGGAGGCATGCATTGTAGGCTTTTGTTGATAAATGCCTACAGGACCTTCTGGTTCATGGGTTGCCACTCTGTCAACACTGGCATTCCCCTCTTTCTCTTATTTTCACCTTTCACGAAGCTTCTTGATTCCCTGCCTATCACCTCTGCATGCAGTTCTGACAGGGCCAAGTGGGAGCATTGGCCACTCTGAAGACGCAAGGACTTTACCAGGGACCAGGGCCAGGTAGAGGGAAGAAAGGGCTAGAAAAGGAGCTAGAAGAATTTCTGATATTTAAACTGCTTTGTTATTCCTAGCTGCTGTCCAGTCAAGCTCAGCTCATGGCGACCCACATACAGTGAAACAAACACTGCCTCGTCGTGCTTTGTCCCTGGGGTGGGTTGTACAATGGGCAGGTATGACCGAAGGTTTTTTCAGAAGTAGATTGCCTGGCTTTCCTTCCTAATTTGTTTTAGTATGGAATTCCTAGAACATGTTAAGCATTATCACAGTGACCAGCCACTTGAAGAGGGCTGCATGTGCAATGTGTCGCCTGGGAATTGAACCCAGTTTCTCCTGCATGGAAGGGAAGAATTCCACTCTGATTCTTCTCTGTCCTCCTTGAGGTGCCCTGGATTATCTGTCTTATCCCTTACTCACCTTTTGTTATAGTTAGTAAGCCAAGCAGAATTCCCTAAAAGGAGTTTTGTCTTGAGAATGACTCAGGAGAACTGGTACTGTAAATGCAGCTGGATGGTGACAGGAATTTCAATGGGGAGAAGGTAACAGGAGAGCCAAGGCCATGGCCAGATGGTGCCCTTCTAGGTCCTGCCCCCACATGATAAGGAAGGCTTCGGCCAGCCGTCTGGGCAATTGTTGCTTTCAATGCTTAGTGAAAACTCATGCAGTGACTTCATGTGTCATGCCTTTATCTCTTGATTCCCAGCGAATTCCAAAGCTAAAAAGTTTCCATTAAGGTTTATGTCTCTCTCTGCCACAGGTTCTTTGTCAAACAATAGTCTTCTGTGGAGGGTAGGGCTATGTGGGTCAGTTGCATCTTTCCTGTCCATGCTGAGAATGATAATCTACATACAGCAAGCTCTTGATAACTGGTTCCTAAGTCCCTCTAGAGCTGGTAGATGTCATCTGTGATGACAGGACAGTTAGAGATCTCTACTGCCTGATGGTGACCCGTTGAAACCAAGCCAGTGTCCCAGGGTCATCTTACTTAACATCCTTTGAGATGCGCTTGGTTTTTAATGAAAAGGTTGGCCACTTGAATCCACCCACAAGTGCCTAGGAAGAAAGGCCTGGAGATCGACTTCCCAGAAGTCAACCATTGGAACCCTTTGGGTGAAGTGAGCTCTGCCTTCTCACCATGGGTTCACAATGAGTCAGAATCATCTCAACAGCAACTGGTTTAATATGGCTTGTGATGACCTGCAGACGCCTCGGGTGACAAGTAGTGAAAACATTGTATGTAGACGGTGTGTGCTGTGTGTCTGTGTGACATTTCAGGTGTGGAGGTAATACCTGAAAGTGAAGTGTTCTGATCCATCTTTAAGGGGATTGCCACCTTCGAGAGTCTTTCTTTTTTTTTTTTTAAATTAAATTTTATTAATTTTAATGAACATTTACAGAGATTTTGGGTTTTCATTCATTCACTGCTGCACTATTTTCTCTACCCTCCTCCCCAGTTCGTTCCTCTTTTTTTCCCCCATTGAAAGTCTGTTTTAATTGTCCAATTGCCACAGTGCTTGTCAAAGCCAGTTCTGATTAATCTCCTTTGTCAGTGTGTCCTTTGCCATTCCCTATCACTCCTCCCTGAGAGAGACTTCACCCTGATTCATAAGGAAAAGAGGATGGCGTATTCTCTTAGCTACTTCCTGCTGAAAAGGGATGCTGTGGGTTTCAGGTGAAGATCTTCTCTCACTACTCTAAAGGGCCCCTTTGGCAGTAGGAAACACATAGGCTATTATGGAGATTGATTTTGGAATTTAGATGCACTGTTATCAATTGTACTTAGCCGTACATGTTCATATCCTTGAAGATGTATCATGGAAGTGTTGCAGCCTAGAAGACACAAATTTAACTAACAAAAGTACTTGAGTCAAGAATTAAAAAGCAATAATATTCCAAGTAGAGGCTCTAATAGTGGCACAAATCAAGGTACAGAGGGAAGGTAGTTCTTACAATAAAAGACCTATTAAGTAGCACTTTGTCTGTTATAGTTTAAAGGTTAGGAACCACAAGATGTAGAGGCTCCACTATGTCATTTATTGTTCTTAAGTCCTGGAGCAAATTCAACCCAGAAGTCCGCATGCAAGGCAGAGGTGAAGTAAGGAACTGCTTATGAGGTTTTCCGTCAATTCCAACAACTAAGAAATAGTGAGAAGAGTTGGGACCTCAGAAGACTTTTAGGACCAAATAGTAGGCTCTTATGTCCAGGAGAAAACAAATATACTTACCAGTAATATTAATGCTCACCCACAGCTCTTCTGGGAGGATCTAAATCGTTGAAGTATACTCCATTGTTTCCAGCTGGGAGCTGGGGCGAGAGTCTTTGAAGGAGAGGAGCCTGTCTTGTGTTGGTTGTGTGCAGAGGCATGACCCTGGAAAGTCAGTCACACCTAGTCTCCCTTTCTATCTTTGCTTCTTGCTGACTGTGTGACCTCCACGCCACCTTGCTTAATATTAAGTCTTGAGCCTTGATGTTTGTTTTCATCTTTAAGATGGGAGTAATGCTGCTGCCTGCCTCCTGGGACTAGTGTGCCACCCGAACCTGTAGCATCCCTCACAAATAGTCTGCTTGAAAAATGGGAGTTCTTCGGACTTTTCAGATAAGGGAGATGGTAGTATCGGAATTCTCTAATCACTATGACTATGAATTCAGTGGGAGAATTGGATTACCATTATGTCCCCTTTTGATACCAGAGATGCTGATGTACATGCAGATGTTGGCACATGGATGCTTTTTTGGCTTTTAATTATTTACAATTCTCAGGTTTCCTTGAGCTGAGAGTGTAAAAAACTGATCAGGGTATATTGTTTAACTTGAGTCAGAACACGATGGTCTACAATGTGGCACACACATCTTATTTAGGTCATATTTACACAACAGTTTTTTCTGCAAAGAATTTTCTGTGCAGAAGTTGGTAGTTCTGATTATTTTTTAAAAGGGAAGAAGTGAGTATTTTGATACCAACCATGAGCAGACTGACTTCTGGCATTCTGTCATCTTTCTTTTTCTGAAGTGAAATAAACTAACAAGATAGATAGAATAATGCTTACTTGTACCTGGATGCTTTAACTTAGATGCCACCTGTCTTGACTCTTTCTGCTCCTAGATGTGACATTTGCTGTGTCACCTTTCGAACACATCGGGGATTGCTCCGTCACAACGCGCTTGTGCACAAACAGCTTCCGAGAGACGCCATGGGGAGGCCCTTTATTCAGAACAACCCTTTAATACCTGCTGGCTTCCACGACCTGGGATTCACCGACTTCTCCTGCCGGAAGTTTCCTCGCATTTCTCAGGTAAGGCATTGTGCTGTCAGCACATAGGTATGAGGTTGGACTGTACCAGCTGCTCCATGGGAGAAAGATGGGCGGTCTCCTTCTGTGTGATTAACTGCCTCTGAAAAACCTGCCGGAGGGTCAGCCCCGAGTTACTGCTCACTCGAAGGTACTTGAACCACAACCGAGCCCCCAGCAAGCTTCCCGGTTACATCCTGACTTTGAACTTCTCTCACTGAGGGCTTTCTTTTCCTAAAATGTCCATCCACCTTCTGTGTTTTCTCTTGCGATTCAGTTTGGCCCTCCCAGCCTTTGGGTGGCCACTGGGTTGAGAGGAGGGGATTGATTTTTATTTTGACTTGAACCCCGGCTTCAAGATGGGTCTGCAGCAGCAATGCCCCTTGCAGTCCTTGGGAAATTTTGGTTTTAAACTGTGACTTATTCATCACCACCACTCCCCTCCCCAGCCATATGTGACTTATTCATCACCACCACTCCCCTCCCCAGCCATATGTGACTTATTCATCACCACCACTCCCCTCCCCAGCCATATCTTATTCTCAAATTTCTAATTTTTAGATATTTTCTCTGTGATACCTATATTCAGAAAAACAAAATCCATTGCTGTCACATCAGTTCCAGCTCACCCTGGCCCCATATGTTGCAGAGTAGGGTTTTCATAGCTGTAATCTTTAGAGAAGCTGTTTTCCAAGCCATTGTGTACAGCACTTCTGTATGGTTTTGAACTGTCAACCAGTAGCCAAGGTCAAACCATTTGTGCCACCCAGGGATCATTTGCTTTGCAGCTAGTTGTTTCCAGCCTTATATAAAGGGTTCTATCTAAAATGGTCCAGGTCATGATTGACCTAAACGAGGAAAGCTTATTAATTTTTGCGTGTAGAGAGAGCAATTGTTAAAGTGACTCTAAAAAAAATTCATTTGAAAAAAAAACAAACCCAACATGAAAACCCAAAACCAAACAATCTCAATAATAATATCAGTCACGAAGTTGTTGAGGTGTGCATGTGGAAAGCGCGTGCACCTGCGTCACCACCAGATGACGAAAGACCATCCCAGCACCCTGCCGCTCCTTCCACACCACAGAGGGGTCTGCTCTGCTTTCCATCCCATCCGCTAGCTTTGCAAAGTTCTCATTTGAAAAGAGAACCATTTCTCTGTTTTCATAAGATTATTACTTAACTGTAGTTCATGGCTTCCCTGGTGAGGACCCATGGAGATTGATGTTACTGATAAAGCAGAGAGGTTACTCATTAAACAAACGTGATACACTTATAATTGCAGTAAGATTTTATATAATGAAACATTTGCCAATTCAGTCTTCTTTCAGTGTGACATTGATAATTTTCACCCTGTAAAGGCGTCCACCACATTCCCTATTCATTTCCTAGTTTTCCTCTGCTCTTAGAAGCAGCTTGGTGTCCTCTACATGACAACTCCTCATTCCCGTCCTTCTCACATCGGTCCATTTGATAAATCATGATTTCTGTACACTGCCCTGTACCATTTACTTGATATATATATGGGATCCTACAAGGTTTTCCCTCAGTGGCAGTCTCATTTCTCAGCATACAGAAATGTGATATTTTTTAAAATGTTTTGTGGCTTTGCTTACTCCACCAGGGGCTTAGCAAGCCTCGGGAGTCTGATCCTTCAGTACAGTAGGTTGGAGCCTGCACCCCAGTTCCATCAGGTTGATAACTTTGTCCTTTGTCCCACGCTCTGCAGGCCTGGTGTGAAGCAAACCTGCGACGGTGCATCAGCGAGCAGCACCGCTTTGTCTGCGAGACTTGCGACAAGGCCTTCCCCATGCTCTCCTCACTCACGCTGCACCGCCAGACCCACAGCTCTGGAAACCCAGGGCGGGAGAAGCCACAGGCCAAGCCCCTGGCCGGGGACACTGTTGACCAAAAGGTCTTCCTGGCCTTGCTGGGCCTGCAGCACACCAAAGACGAGAAGCCCACCCTCGCCGAGGAGCTGCCGGATGACAACCAAGCCATCCAGCTCGAGACACTCAGGTGCCAGCTACCTCAGGAGCCCGCCTGTGCCAGCCTGCTGAGTCTCTCCCCTTTTGAGGCCACCTCTCTGGGAGGCCCGCTTGCTGTCCTCCCCACCACCAAGGAGAACATAAAGCATTTGTCCCTGCAGCCCTTCCAGAAGGGCTTCATCATCCAGCCCGACAGCAGTATTGTGGTCAAGCCCATCTCCAGCGAGTCTGCCATCGAGCTGGCTGACATCCAGCAGATCCTGAAGATGGCAGCCTCTGCTCCCCCACAGATCAGTCTTCCGCCTCTCTCCAAGGCCCCTGCCACCCCCATGCAGGCCATCTTCAAGCACATGCCTCCACTGAAGCCAAAGCCCCTGGTTACGCCACGCACAGTGGTGGCCACCTCAACGCCCCCACCGCTTGTCAACACCCAACAGTCCTCCCCTGGCAGCGTCAGCCCCAGCCTGCCACCTCCTCCGCTCAAACTGCTAAAGGGCTCAGTGGAGGCCGTCTCCAGTGCCCAGCTGCTGCAGGCCAAGGCCGGAGCCCAGCCCAGCGCTGCCACCCAGCTCTTCCTGCAGCCCCTGGCTGAGCTGCAAGGCCAGGCTGAGTTGAAGACACGACTGGAGCAGGACAGCATCATCGAGGCGCTGCTGCCTCTCAGCATGGAGGCCAAAATCAAGCAAGAAATCACGGAAGGCGACCTCAAGGCCCTCATGGCAGGGTCTGCCAGCAAGAAGACCCCGGCCATGCGCAAAGTCCTCTACCCCTGCCGCTTCTGCAACCAGGTGTTTGCCTTCTCTGGGGTGCTGCGCGCCCATGTGCGCTCCCACCTCGGCATCTCGCCCTACCAGTGCAACATCTGCGACTACATTGCCGCTGACAAGGCCGCCCTCATCCGCCACCTGCGCACACACAGCGGGGAACGGCCCTATGTCTGCAAGATCTGCCACTACCCCTTCACAGTCAAGGCCAACTGCGAGCGGCACTTGCGCAAGAAGCACCTCAAGGCCACGCGCAAGGACATCGAGAAGAACATCGAGTACGTCAGCAGCGGTGCAGCGGAGATGGTGGACGCCCTGTGTGCCCCAGACGCGGTGTGCCGGCTGTGCGGCGAGGACCTGAAGCACTACCGCGCGCTCCGCATCCACATGCGCACGCACTGTGGCCGCGGCCTGGGTGGCTGCCAAAAGGGCCGCAAGCCATTCGAGTGCAAGGTGTGCAGTGCCCCCTTCGTTGCCAAGCGCAACTGCATCCACCATATCCTCAAGCAGCACCTGCACGTGCCGGAGCAGGAGATCGAGAGCTACATCCTGGCCACAGACAGTGGGGGTGCCGGAGAGGGGCCAGCTGCAGACACCGCCAGCATGGTGGAGGAAGGCGGCTGCGGGGCCTTTGCTGACCACAAGCCTATAGCGGCCTTCCTGGAGCCCCAGAACGGCTTCTTACACGGGGGTCCCACCCCAGCCCCCCACATCTCTGTTAAGCTGGAGCCCACCAGTAGTTTTGCAGTGGATTTCAACGAACCCCTTGACTTTTCCCAGAAGGGCCTGGCCTTGGTCCATGTGAAACAAGAGAGCTCCACCTCTTTCCTCAGCCCCTCCTCCCTGGCCCCCTACGACTGTTCCATGGAGCCCATAGATCTCTCCATCCCCAAGAACCCCAAGAGAGGAGACCAGGACTTGGCTGCCTCAGATGAGGCCAAGAAACCCGAGCAGGAGCCCCAGGAAGGCGAGCAACCCCTGGTCTGTCCATCTCTGTGCCCCACCCTGCCAGCAGTGTTGGGGCCCACTGGGGGCTTGGACAAACCTGGAACCCTGGCACTAGCCACCTCCACGACACCCCACCAGGAGCCCAATGCACAGGCCATGCAGGGGCCCGTCCAGCTCGCGGTCCCCATCTACTCCTCAGCCCTTTTGGGCAATCCCACCCTCCTGAGCAGCTCAGCCCTCATTAGCAGCTCAGCCCTGCTCCGGCCACTGCGCCCCAAGCCGCCCCTGCTCTTGCCAAAGCCCCCTGTGACCGAGGAGCTGCCCCCACTGGCCTCTATTGCCCAAATCATCTCTTCTGTGTCCTCAGCCCCCACCCTGCTGAAGACCAAAGTGGCCGAGTCCGGGCCCTCCAGCACCAGCAGTGGCCTCTCGGGCACCGACTCGGTGGGGGGCACCATGGCCAAATCCAGCCCTAGTGAAGCCACAAGCCCACAGGAATCCAAGGACCCACCTACAATGGCCACTAGTCCTGAGGCCACCTCTCCCACCGACCAGGGGCCAGCTAGCGCATCTAGGAAGAGGGGCCGGAAGAAAGGGGTGCGAAGCCGGGCCAAGAACAGCAGTGGCGGTGTGGACCTGGACTCCAGCGGGGAGTTCGCCAGCATTGAGAAGATGCTGGCCACCACCGACACCAACAAGTTCAGCCCATTCCTACAGAGCGCCGAGGATGGAGTGCAAGAGGAGGTGTCTGCAGCCTTGACTGACCCCCACATCAGTGACGATGAGCAGGCCAGCCCCCCAGAGGACAAAGGGCTGAGGGCCAGGCGCAACTCCTATGCCAACTGCCAGCAGAAGATCAGCTGCCCCCACTGCCCACGGGTATTCCCGTGGGCCAGCTCCCTGCAGAGGCACATGCTCACACACACCGGTAAGTGGCCGTTCCCAGCAGAGCATCCCATCCCCATCTTCCTTTCGGGTCTCAGAAGCAGAGTGCTTGCCTGGTGATGCTGTGATGCTGTGGTGGTTCCCTCTCTATGCTTAGGAACCAGCATAACCTTTGTAATCAGGTCAGATATCAGAATGACCTTTTAGGGGGTATAGCTCAGTGGAAGAACATTTGAATGCAGAATGACCTTTTAACCAGATTGGGAACCAGAGTGACTTCTTGTCCCATGTTGGAGCCCTTCAAGCACAGTGGTCATTGAAGTCAGGGGGGGTTCACCTTGTAGGTGTATTAGTGACAGTGAGGGTGGTCTCTCCCAGGAGCAGGGTATCCCAGGCAGTAGCCAGGAGAAGAGGACTTTGAAGAAGAGGAGTGTAATGAATGCAGGACCCATGAGAAGCTCAGCATCATCTTTGTTAAATCTTGTTACAAAGCTCCAGTCTTTGGGTAGCGCAGACCATGGATGCACTCAGGGCTGCTGAATGAAAGGCTGGCAGCTGAAATACCCCCAGTGGCACGTAGGGAGGAAAGGCTCCCAAACACTTGGTCCTGGAAACCGTCAGATCACAGTGCTGCCCTGACCTCCAGGGGTTTGTGTGTGGGGTCAGCGCATAGCTGGCTGGTGGAAAGCACTTGGCCATATTTGGCTCTGTGTTGGAACATTCCCCTCATTAGATTTTGGAGCTGGAAGGAACCCCAGGAATCCTGCCTTTTTGCACACACCTAGCATTTTCCTGAAGGTATGCTTTGCTATTGGAGAATCTCAGGGCTAAGTCTTCCCTACTCCCTAATTATCTATGAGCGATGCTGCCTCCGGAAACCTGAAGGGAGACTTAAGGCATGCATAAGTTTAAAACCAAGGCATTGTCATTAGTCCATACTAGTTTTTGGTGATCCCTTGTGTGTATAGAACTGATCCCTTGGGTTTTCTTTACAGAAGCGGGTCACCAGGCCCTTCTTCCTAGTCACTGCTTGGTGGATTCAAACTGCTAACTTTTAGGTTAGTAGCAGAACTCACACCATGCACACCACTGAAGGACCGTAGATGTATGGTTAAGAGGACAGAAATTAAACGTTGACTTTGAAACTACCCTGCCAACAAAAGTGTCCTTCAGGGAAGGGGTGGTGTCTTTTAATTGTAGTATTAACATCTAGTTGGGTTTTGGCCAGAAGATCTGAACAGTCTCCAGTTTCAGCTGGAGGGTTGGCTTCTGGTCTCCACTGGTACTTGGAATTTCGTGTGCTTTGTCTTGCAGACTTACTTCTCCACCTCACACCCCTAGACCAGGCAGCAGTAGGGACACCCACCCAGACTAGGCAGCAGTGGGGCGACCAGATCCTCACTGTTGGGCTGGAGCACACCATGTCTGCCATCTCAGAGGCCCAGGTTCCAGGAATTTATCTTGAATGAGGAAGCTGGCCTGGTGTTACACAGTTGAATTTCCTCCTCCTCCCTGCCTGTAAAAGTCTCCTGCTGCCCACCACTTCCTGTTGAGCAGGCCCAGGGTCTGGCTCCTCACCTCTCTACTTCAGGAGAGAGGGCACGCTGTGTTTTGTCCCCGCCCCGGCTCCTCGAGGGTGTGCGGGCACAGGTGAAGGGCACTGAGCCAGGACGTGGAGCCAGGGCCCTGAGGCCTCTGCCCTTCGCTTCCTCCTTCCCCTTCCTCCTCGCCAGATGCAGGCCTTGGGTCAGTCAAGCCCTCCTCCTGCCTGTTACCACACTGGGATCACCTGGCCCCTCCATGTTTCTCACGGGTTCATTCCCTTCTCTCTGCCAGCTGAGAGTTCAGAGTGAAAATCACTAAGATTTCCAAACCTCTGTGTGGAAAGTGCTTCAGATACCAGTTGTGTTTGGCGTCAGTCACCCAACCCCTGCCAAGCCCAGAAATAGCCAACCACGAGGTGAGGGCAGTGCAGAGGCACAGTGCCCCAAGTCACTTTATCTTATTTTTTTGAAAGGCACCTACAAGGTTTCCTCTGTAATTGTAGCTCATTGTTGTTTTATTGTTGATTTGAGTGAAAGTTTACAAAGTAGATTTGCTTCCTATTTAACCATTCATACACAGTTTATGTTATAAAATTAATTGCTAACATTAAGCCACAATCTAATTGTACTTTTACCACATACTCCTTGTCAGTCTCATTTCTGTTAATCTTCTGTCCTGCCTTCTCCTTCTGTGTGGGCAAATGCTACTCCTTTGGCCTCAGATAGTTGGTTAATCTAAGGTGTAAGCACCTCTTTGGTGTTACTAATCACTTTATAAAATTGTTTTCCGGCATTCTCGTGTCCTAGTGGGTAGGAGTTGCACTGCCAACTCAAAGGCAGGTGGTTCAAACGCTCCAACTGCTCTTCTGAAGAAAGGTGAGCAATCTTGTGCCAATTACAGCCTCCGGAGGTCAGCTCTGTGACAATTCTCACTCCTTGGCAATGAACACAGACCTATTTATTGTTGGACTAATTTTCTTTCTTGTTTTGGAAAAATGTTTGTTTGTCTGTCTGTCTGTCTAAAAATTGAACTATAAGTGTGACGTTCCGGGCTTGAAGGCCATAGTCTTGGCAGTTTACTTGTCTAACCCAGATTCTCCTTGAAAAATGAACACAACTTCGAAATCATCTGTTTTCAATCTTCCAGTGATCATTTCTGATAGCAAGATCATTATCTCATAATTTTCCTCTGTGTCTATGTGTGTATGGAATGTGTTCTTAATGTTTTACTAAGGTAAAACATGTATCACAGAATTGACTCTTTGAATCCTTTCTGAGCACTGCAGGTTCATGACATGGCATACCTTCGCTACGTTATACAGTCATTACTGTTGCCAGCTCTTCTTTTTTCTATTGAAAGTTTATAGAGACTGGATTTCCATTCATTCATTGTTGCACATTTTCCTCCCTGCCCACCCCTCCCCCTTTTGCCAGCTCTTCACCCCAAGCAGAAGCCCCCTAACTTACAGCTCCCCTTTCTCCCCACCTCCAGCCCCTGGTGACCGGTACTGTGCTCTCTGTCCATTTGCCTAATCTAAATAGTTTATAGAGAGCTCTGATGGCCTACTGGGTGGATTGTACTGCCAATCCAAAGGTGGCCAGTTCAAATCCACCAGCTGCTCCATGGGAGAAAGATGGGCTGCTTCTTCTTGTGTGATTTATATCCTCTGAAAGCCCATTGGAGGGTCAGCTATAGGTTGGTTCTAACTCCATAGCAATGAGGAGGAGGAGAGAGAGAGTTCATATATGAGAAATGGAGAAAATGAAGAAGATTCCCAACAAGATAGGGGTCTTGTTGTTACACAAGTGACTTGAGCAGAGCAGAGATGATGAGGATAGAGGATAGGGCAGGGTTCAGATCTGTAGTTGATAGGGTTGCTACGAGTTGTAGGCAAAAGTGAAACATTTACCAATGTGCAGGTAAAGGAGAGTTGGTTTTTGAAGTCATGACTCCTCTCCTGGCAGTTGGCTTGTTCTCTTCTCTGCCTGACAAGCTCCCTCCAAATTTTGCATTAGAGGGAGCTGCCCTGATACTGCCTCTTAGTGATAACCTATTAAGAGGAAAAGCTTTTTTCTCTTAACTTAAAATAGGTCTTCTTGTTGTTATTGTTGTTGTTATATGTCGTCAAGTCCCCTGTGACTCATAACGACCCTGTGTAGAACGGCCCCAAACCCTGATCTATCCTGTGCCAATCTTACTGTCTCTGGCATACCTACCCTTATTACCCCAGTCACTGAATCCATCTCATCGAGGGTCTTCCTTTCTTGTGCTGTCCCTCCTCCCTCCCAAGCATGAGGTCCCTCTCCAAGGACTGATCTCATGTTGCAACATGTCCACAGTATATTAGACGAAGCTTCAGAATCCTTGCCTCCAAGAAGCAGCCTGGCTTCACCCTCTCCAGGATGAACTTGTTTGTTCTCCTAGCAGTCCATGGTATATGTCCATTCAATACTCTTCTCCAGCACCACAGCTCAAAGGCATCAATTCTTCATCTGTCGTCCCTAGTAATTGCAGGTTTCTGATGCATAGCAAGTAATTGCAAAGACCGTTGCTTGTGTCAGGCACACTTTGACTCCAGACTGACATCATTGCACTTCAGTACTTTGAAGAAGTCTCTGACAACAGACTTTCCCAATGCAGTTTGGTTTTTTGTTTTGTTTTGTTTTGTTTTAAAATTTTTTTTATTTTTTTGTGTGTGCGTGTACCATCAAATCAGATCTGACTGGTACAGGAGGAGATTGCCCCTCCTGCAGTTTGTTTTTTCATTTCCTGGATGCTGGTACCAAGAGTGTTTATTGTAGAGCCAAACAAACTGAAGCTGTTAAAAATCTCAGTCTCTTTACCATTCATCATGATGCTGCCCATTGGCCAAGTGTTGAGAATCTTTGTTTTCTTGATGTTGAACTTCAATTCATATTGAAGGCTGCAGTCCTTGACTTTCTGCCGCAAGCGCTTCAGGTCTTCCTCAGGCTCAGCAAGCAGGGTTGTGTCAGCTGCATAATGCAGATTATTGATGACTCTTCCACCAATCCTGATGCTACATTTCTCCTCATAGAGCCCAGCCTCCTGAATAATCTGTTCCACACATAGATTGAAAAAATATGGAGATAGGACACATCCTTGGCATACACCCTTCCCAATTTTAAACCATGCAGTGTTTCCTTGTTCTGTTCTGATAAATGCCTGTAGGTCCAAGGTTTTACATAAGCATGATCAAGTGTTTTGGGATTCCCATTCTTCTCCGAGTCAGCCACAGTTTGTTATGATCCACACAGTCAAATGCCTTTGCATAGTCAATGAAACACAAATAGACAATCCTCTGGTACTCTCTGCTTTTAGCCAAGATCCATCTGACATTAGTTATAATATCCCTAATACCATGGCCTTCTAAACCTAGTGATCATTAAATATTATGTACACCTTTTGATGGTAAGTAAAAAGTAATTTGAGAGGTGCATGGTGAAGATTAAAATCCTTTACTGCTCGTTTTTATGACAATAAGTATCAAAATTCAAGCGAATTTTTAAAATAACGGTAGCAGGAAGCCCTCCTTGAGCTTTGTAAAGGATGCATGGAGAAGAGGATGCAGAGTTGTGACCAGCTTCCACTCCCCCAAGTCCCCAACCCTCCATTTTCTTAAGAAGCACTGCTGGTGACGGGAACATCTCAAGGATGTCGTCTCAGTGGGGTTGTGTGCATGGCACCCCTGCAATTGTGCAACGCAGCTGTGCTTGCTCTGCCTCAGAAAACTAGAGCACGCGCCCCTACCCTCGCTGACCCCAGGCTACAGGCCTTCTGTCCCCAGCCTCTGGTTCCCACTTGCTCTTGATCCTCCTCAGCTCCTGTCCTCCAGGATGAACCTACTATGTGTTGGAGGGAGTAGTGTTGCAGGACACGCCACTGTTGCAGGTGATAACATTTGATGAGGGTGAACCCCTGTCCAGTGTGTGAACACTTGAAACCTCTCCCCTGCAGAACTGAGAAGGAAATTCTTGAGCATAAGGGTCGGGAGCAGGGGAGAAACAAGCACTTGGTGATACAGTGCATTGAACCCTCTCATGAAGTCCTTCAACCAGCCCACCTTCCTCTGCATTCTGCCAGGTCACCTTTGCCTTCTCTACTCCTTGTGAACTGTCCCTAGTGTAGGCAGCCCTGGCGGCCCAATGTTAAGAAACTACACTGCAGTCCCAAAGGTAACTGGTTTGAATCCAGCAGCTGTTCCAGGGGAGGATGGACAGTCTCCCCCCAGTAATTCACTGCTTCTAAAAACCCACTGAGGGTCTGCTGTTTGTTGGTTCCCACACAAGGGCCCCATCCAGGAAGATGGGGGCAAAGAGAAGGGGACCCTGCTTGCATTTTGAAACACTGATTACAGTACAAAAAGAAACCAAGAAAGAGGAGAGGTTAAACAAACTCAACCAGAGAACTTACAGTCGGGGGCTTGATTCTCCTGGTTTTCCTGCTCTGTGAAGAGGACAGGAAGAGAACGTGGAGGCAGAGAGTACAGTGGGATACTGCTGTTCTTGGGAGTCTACTGGTGTCAACTTCCTAGTCACTCATTTACTCCCAGGTGGAAGCTTATTAGCACCTGGAACAAAAAAGATTCTCTAATTCACAGTGGTCTTGGCTAGGGGTCAGGACATCTGTCACCAAGCACCTCTGGGCACTGGAAGCTCACTGCTGGCAGTCAATGTGTGAGGTGGCCAGAGCCACCTTCCTAGGACCCCAACCCAGCACAATCACACCCAGAAGTGAAGATGCCCCCAAGGTGTGTGTGCCTTCTAACGACCTTAGATCCCCCAGTATATACCACTGGCCACGTTGGCTCCAAGTCATAGGGAAGTGTCATCCATTTTTAATTTTATATAATACAGGCGTTTTCTAGCTAGACTCTAAGATCCTATCATCTTCTTTCATTCTTTGTTGTTATTTATATTTCTTAAATTTTAATACTGTTTTACTTTAAACATATATCTTGGTTTCATTTGTTAATTTTTTTTTAGTGTTTAAGATGAGAACTCACTCCATTCCACTCAGGAGAAGGGAATGTGATTCTTTTAGTTACTGGTATTCTCAAAATTTGTTGTTGTTTATTTATTTTGAATGCAAAGCACTTGTTTTATTTTCTTAAAAAGAAGAGGGGTGGGGGAGTGGGGAAGTCAGTGGCTCCAGAAAAAGGAATCAAAAGAAACTTTTACTTTTCATTTCATTAGAAAGCCAGATAAATTACCTATTTTTCTCCCGTTCAGGTCAGAAGCCCTTCCCTTGTCAAAAATGTGATGCCTTCTTTTCTACCAAATCTAACTGTGAACGCCACCAGTTACGCAAACACGGAGTTACCAACTGCTCCCTGAGAAGAAACGGGCTTTTCCCCCAGTCCAGAGAGAGAGATGTTGGAGCTCAGGATAGCACAGGTAGTGCCCTGTTCCCGAGGATGGACAGACAGAAGAGGGCTCCTCACACATGCTTGGCTCAGTTCTAGCAATCTCTAGCCCAGGCCATGGTGGGTTGTGGGTGTCAGTGTCTGGGCTGGACTTAGACTCCATACAGTGGAACCTGCCTCCCCAGGTCAGGATTGCTGAGATTGAAAATAGGACTTACTCTTCAGCCAGAACCCTGGGTGCCCCGGTATGGGTGCACCAGTGCTGGTGGTCCCTGCTTGTCTGAGCTGCCAGGGCCACTCTGGATGGTGTGGGTACCCTTGGGAGGCGGGTGTGTGGGGAGACCCATGTCAGTTGACATGACAACACTGAAGGCTGGGGATTTGGTCTTTTGACCCCATTGTGAAGAGCAGGGACAGTCTCCTGCGTATCTCTGGGTGTAGCTTTGCAGCATCCCAGCATCTCAGCCCGGATTTGAGAGCATGCCGCATGCCTGTGTAACCACATCTCTGCCTGGCTCTCACATCACTGTTTGCTGGTATGTGTTTCCTTCCTCCAGGCCCCTGCGGAGCCATTAACAGCCGCCCAGACCTCTTCCCCCACCCTTTGCTCCTTACAGCTCTGTTTATTCATGTCCTTCCTTCAGTATGCTCCATCACCTCTGACTGCTGGGGTTCTCCTCCACCACTTCACCCCAGAAACCAAACCAAGAGGAGACACAAGCTCCTTAGACACAGGGCTTGATGGCACGCACTTAGTCACAATGTTACTGTACACTGGATTGGTGTCACACACCCTGGAAGCCTCAGCATTGCTTCCACAGCCGGGTCCTCTAGGGGCCTGCTGGCTAGGGCCTTTTTCCTGGTGGGGGCGGGGGCAGGTGCTGTGTCCAGCTGGGGTGTGGATTGGAGGCTGAGGTATGGCGTCCCTGTCTCACACATGAGGGATTGCACCCCACCCCCCAGACCACACCTTGTCCTCCTCAGGAGGAGATCAGCAACATGAATAGAATTTGCAGGTTCCTGCTAGGAACTACTACTACTAGTACAGTAGTTAAGTGTGTTTGCTGCTGATTAAAATGTCCCATCTCATTGAACTCATCTGTCCACAGAAAAATGATGGGACAGTCTACTTTCAAAAAGATTTGTAACCTTGGAGACCCTGTGGGGACAGTCTGCTCTGTCTGGTAGGGTCATAGTGAATCGGGGATCAGTTCCACAGCAGTCAGTCTATTGTTGTTACGGCTTTAAAATTGAGGGTGATGGGGAAGTCGCCTTTAAGGCTGGCACATGTTGCCACCCCTCATCTGTCATCAGAGGCTTTTGTGTTGCTAGAACAATTTCAGCAGAGCTTCCAGACTAAAGGTAAGGAGAAAGGCCAGGTGATCTGTTGCCAAAAATCAGACAATGAAAATGGACTCAGTTCACAGCCAGTACTGGGAAGCGTTAAAAGCGTGAGGTGACTGAACTAGGAGCTGATGTCAGCAGCTGATACGAACAAGGGTCTGAAATGGTAAAATCTGTGGACTGGTTGGCTCTCGTATCTACCTGCCCCGTAGTCCAGTGCCCCAAGCCTGGCCACAGTGATTATCTGAGCACACTCAGCCATCACTGCTCCTGTTTAACAGCCCTGGGATGTCCCTTGATGTCCCGTGGTGGGGCCTTTCAGGGGTTTAGACAGCAGCTAACTCATTATCTTGAAAGTACCTTACCCCTGTGCTAGATGCACCTTTTACATTCGGCATCCTGACCGTACAAGAACAGAGGAGTCCAACACCTCCTGCCAGCGTCTGCCCTACAAGGCAGTTCCATAGAATCTGCAAACATAAATCAGAATTTGGTGTCTTTTAGTAGGAATAGCTTCTACCTATGGGTGTATTTAGCCCTGCATTTACAAGTCTTGTTTCTCCAAATCCAGTACAAGCTACCTTTCCCCGAAAGAAAGTTCTTCTAGGTTTTCTTTAAAGCTTCTAGAAAATAAAAGTCACTAAAGCTACAATAAGAAACCAGCAAAGCAAAAATACACATTTGGTTAGCTATCACCACAGTTCCTTGTAGACAGCTGAGATGTCAGACAGACCAGCACTCAGTGACTTGAATGTGGCCTGGCTCCCTGGAAGTGAGGCTTTGGGAGAAAAGCATTAATAAGCTTAGACAGGAAATAACCAAAGATTCTCTAATAACCAAGGTTCTATCGGTTCCTGTGTCTAAATGATATTTTCATAAATCCCTAAATATATTTTCTATGCTGGGAGTTTGCCTCTTTTCATTCAGATAAAGTCACTTCCTCTAAAAAGTGTAGCAATGCTGCAGTGGGGGAATTCTAGCCAGCGGGAACTTATCAAATCCAAAGTTAAACTGGATTTTAGTTCCTTTTGTATGTACCCTGAGTGGTGTTGTGTAGTCTTGGGCGCCTGCTTCTGGATTTGGGAATCAATAGGAATCACAGGATCCGTGGCAGGTCTTTGAACATTGAGTTCCCCTGGCATCCTGGACAGGTTGCACTCTGTCTAGGAGTGAGCTAGGTGAAGTACCAGCAGAGCCCTCAGCATGCTGCCGACGCCCCGTCAGAACAGTGATTGCAAGAGGCAATCTTCTCAGGTTGATTTCTAGGAAGCAGTGACTTGGGATGGTGTAGAATAGTTCCCATTTGCCTGTAGGGGCAGCTGTAGGCTGTTATCATCAGCTAGGCGGTCAGGATTTGTGTTGAGGGAGGAGACCAAAATAGAACCTGGCATTGCATGTTGAATATTCCTGTTATGCAGAGAGGTTCAGAAGACCCTGGAATCAGTTGTTGCAGAAAACAACTGCTGGAGGGCAGGGGCTACCCTGCTCAAACACGCCCCCTCGTGGAAGATGGGTTGGTTGTACTTAGGTTCCCTTTTGTTCCTCAGAGGACATATGAGGGGAATGCTTCCATTCCCTGTAAAACTTAAGTTCAGAGAGTCTTGAGTGACTCAGAAGAGTATTCAGAAAAAAAATAAGCTAGAATATACAAAGTGGAGGGAACCAGAGATTTTTTTCCTTTAATTCTAAGAGTTTACACCAGAATTCATGAAGGAGATAAACTGCCTGTTTAAATGACTCAAGAAGGCATCTACTTTTTCTTTAGAACTCCCACTAGATGTTGGGGCATGTATCTCCAGATTCCTCTTCTCTTAAGCTCTGGAATAATTTCCAGAAATCGTTTTTTAAGAAGTTTCTGTTCACACCACAGTTAACTTTTTTCCTTCTGAAGCCACTTGTCCACCTAGCTGCAGAAAGTGGGATCCAGGTTAGAGGCAGTAACTCTGGCTCTAATCTGCTGGCTGAGGGCTGTAATCGCATGTCTGAAGCATCAAGTGGTGTGAGTTTGCACTGTGAGTCGCTTCCGAGTCAGCCCAGTAATCATCGGAATTAACGCACAAAGGCACCAGCAAGTTTCAAGCTCAGGGCTAGAATAGGATCTTAAAAGGCATTAAATTCTCATTCACCCTGAGCAAGAGGGAGAGTGTGCTTTTTGAAAATGCTGTCTCCTGTTGGGTGACATGTTGCCACACTGCCATCCCTCTTGCTGGGCGGAGTGCCCTTGTTCTCTCTTGCTGTGGAGAGTGGACAGGTAGACAGGGACGTGAATCAACGTTGGCAAAATCTCGATTCCCCAACCCCCAGGCCCTTGTCTCCCTACACACTTCACCTACTCCCCAGCCTCTTCCCTTCCTGTCTCCACATCTTGGGTGCTCTGACCATACCTGATGTCATCCAGGGGAGCCTTCTCTCCCATGTGTTCCTACTATCCATCTGGGAAACTAACCATACCAGGAAAGGCACAAGGTGCATGCGTATCCTTTTGCTTCTGCATCCTCTGTCTGGAGATGAGGCAAGGTGTGTGCCCCATATGTGCAAGTTTCATTAGCTGTGAAAGTCTTCATGTCAGACATGATTGTGGAATATGACGGGTTGAGGAGGGTGGTATTCTGTGTATAATGCATGTTTGATTAATCTCTTTGCACTGGAAAAATAACTGCCAACTCAGCTTCCTCCACTTCCCTCATTCTGGGAGTCTCTGGAATGCATCTCTCTCCAAGCCCCCTTTCTCTGCACTGCCCTGTGCAACTCACCTCAGGCTGTGGAGGCCGTAGGGCAGCTTCTGGATGGGGACAAGACTTCTGGGGCACTCAACCCTGCCCACCCAACCTGTGTATAAGTGGAGGCTCTTTCTGCCTCTCTAAAGTGGCCCAAACTCCCCTGTACAACATGGGCAGAGAGGAGACCACCATGGGGTGTGGACTGCAGGCTGCTGGGGAGTGGGTTCACATGGAAAGGGCCTTCTAGGTAGATGTCCCATCTCAGGCCCTTCTCCCTCTGTGCTTGCTCACAGATAGCCAGTCAGACACGGAGACATCGACGGCTGGAAATGAGGTGCTGGACCTAACCTCTAGGGACAAAGAACAGCAGGAACCAGAGGGGGCCCCTGAGCCCAGCCAGATGGGAGATGAGCCCCCCACAGAGGAAGAAAAGGGGGAAGCACCTTCACCTGGGAGTGGAGAGGAAAAGGAAGAGGAGGACGATGGAGAGCAAGAGGAGAGCGGTACCACAGAGGAAAGGGACGAGGACACTGAGGGCCCAGAGGAAGACACCGTCAGCAACAAGAGCCTGGACATCAACCTTGCCAGCAAGCTGATGGACTTCAAGCTCGCGGAGGGCACCACAGGCGGTGGGAGGTCCCCCCAGCAGGAGCTGAAGCACACCTGCGACATCTGTGGGAAGAGCTTTAAGTTCTTGGGAACGCTGAGCCGTCACAAGAAGGCCCATGGCCGAGAAGAGCAGAAAGAAGAAGGCAAGCAGGGAGGGTCACCTGAGGAGCCACCACCATCCCCTGAAACCAGCCCTGCACCTGAGCCTGAGGAGATGCCTGCAGGCCCTTCTGTGAGTGCCGAGGAGGCTGAACCAGAAAAGCCACAGGAGGAGGTGGAGGCTGTCTCTGAGGGGGAAGGCACAGCTGAGAAGAAGGCCTCGGAGAAGAGCGATGATGACAAGAAACCAAAGACAGACTCCCCCAAGAGTGTGGCCAGCAAGGCTGACAAGAGGAAGAAGGTGTGCAGCGTGTGCACTAAAAGGTTTTGGTCCCTGCAGGACCTGACTCGGCACATGAGGTCGCACACAGGTAAGCGGTGAGCTGGGCAACGGGACATGAGGGCCAGGCCTCAGCCCTGAGCCAGCACATGGCTAGTGTATGCCCTTGATTCAGACCACTTGCCACCACACTTGGGTCAAGCAAGCTTCCCACTGCAACGAGAGGTGTCCGCATACAGGAGCTGAGCCCTGGCCCTGCTCCCTCTCTGATCCCCTAAACTCAGAGGAGGAACCAGCTCCTGGCAGTTTCCCAAAGGAGCAATGGGGACAGAGCCCCAGGGAAGGAATGTACTTGCCACAGCCATGTGGCCTTCCCTCCTGGGTAAGATAGGGATCATACCAGATATTCCCCTAGTTCTTGAGAATTCTCAGGACTCCTTGGAAGGAAGACCTCTGTTACCAGTGGTCTCGGGAGCATTACAGATCAGACACCCTCTGAGTCTCAGTCACCCCTTCTGTGGAATGGAATGGTTAGGGCTGTGATCCTCTTCCATTCTGGGGAGGAATTGTGGAATTGCCCTAGGCTGTTCCAAACATCTGCTGGGAGGCCACACTGCCCCTGCCATCCTCAGGGACAACATGCATGCCGCACGGGGACTTTTCTTGACTCCGCTTCAGCTGGGCCTCTGAGACTATAAGGACCCTTGCTTGGCTGCTGTGCCTGTCTAGGTGGCTGAGCTGTCCCTGCTGAATCCATCGCCCACAAGCAGAGACCAGACCCACAGTCGAGAGACTTGAGTGTTCTTGTGAATCAGTGATACCCACACCCCCTGTGCACACAGAAACATCAAGCTCCTGCATCTGCTGCCTTCCATTTACCAGCCTTGAGACAAGCATCCACACGCTCACGATGGCATTTCTGTGCATGTACACACATAAAGTCACACACCATCCCTGCTCACCCTCATCCTTATACGCACACATTCTCATGTTCCTGCTCACACTCATACTTACACACTCTCACCCCCAATCACACTTATGCTTACACACTCACCCCTGCAAATGCTCATACTTAGACACCCCCCCTGCTGTTCATGCTCATCCTTACACACACCCCATTCACACTCATCCTTACACAACTCACTCCCTGCTCACGCTCATCTTTACATTCACACTCATCCCAGCCTATGCCCAGTTAACTTGCCCCAGGCATGTTCTCTGGGGGGATATATAGCCTATGAGTATGGCTCTTGAAAAACGCTAATTCTTGAGTTCTGGACAGGTTGTCCTTAGCTGCTGGGGGTTTTGAGCAGAGAGGAAGCCATGGCTGCTCCATGCTAGGATGTTCCTCTGCCCTGTAAGAGGGCTTTCCTGCCCCAGCCCAGCCCCTGACTCAAGCCAGCGTGGGTCCTCTCAGCGTCTCCTTTTTCAGCTTAGATCAAAATAAAACCAAGAGTTGTGAGGCTACCAGGGCAAAGGACGGGCCAGTGCAGAGAGATGGAATGCATCCTAGGCCCCCCAGTATGCTTCCCCTGGCCCTGGGCCCCTTTTGTTAGCCTGGCTCTTGCTGTCATCGAGCACAGGGGCTGATGTAGGACTTACCCCTTAGAGGCATGATTTCTCTGTCCTGTTGCTACAGGCGAAAGACCATACAAGTGCCAGACCTGTGAGCGGACCTTCACACTCAAGCACAGCCTGGTCCGCCACCAGCGCATCCACCAGAAGGCCCGGCACCATGGGAAGGACGGTGACCAGGACGAGAAGGGTGAAGAGGACAGTGAGAATGAGTCCACGCACAGCAGCAACAACCCCGTCTCCGAGAGCGAGCCCGAGTCCTCACTGACTACCAGCAACCACATGGCCATCACGAGGAGCCGCAAGGAGATCCTAGCCAAGGAGGCCGGCCGCAAGGAAGACAAGGCAGGTGGTCGGGTGGCCGGCGCCTATCAGGCCGACTCCAGCAAGAGTGCACCCAGAGAGCAGACGTCGCAAGGTCCCACTGACCAGGAGGGCCAGGGGACCATCGCACAGGACCCTCCAGAGCTACCCAGCAGGAGGCCAGCCCAGCCCCTCCTGGCCTCTGACAGCCCCACTCAGCCCCTGGGAGTGGAATGATGCAGGGCCTGTCCCCTCGAACACACAGCCAGCCAGCCGAGCCAGGCGCCCCTGTGCGTCCCCATCCCAGAGGCGCCCTTTCTGGGGGCCTCCTGCGCTTGGAGCATGGGCGCTACAGCACAGGGGATGCGGTGCCCTGCCTCAGTGCCATGGCCTTGCAGCCTCACCAGCACCCCCAGACTGATCGAGTGCCTTACTACTTTACCAGATATTTGGAATCCTAGTTTTCATTTTGTTTTTCCAAAAAGACTTTTTAAAAAGAGAAAAGAAGAAAAAAAAAAGGCGAGACATCTTTTAACGAATTATTTGGAGAGGACTTTTTTCATTTAAGCATTAATGTTACGTTTTGTATTCGTGTGCGTGAGCTTGTTGATAGGAATCTGTGATAGTACTGTTTTGTTCTGTGAGCTGGAAACAGAAGAGAAATGCCCGTGGATACCCATAGCCAATAACTGGAATAAAATGATGTGAATTTTGTGTAAATTACCAGAGGAAATATGGATAAGATCTTAATTTCTCAAGTATATCTTTCTCTTCCCCCCCACCCCCACCCCGCCCTGTTCGCTTCCTGGTAGAGCTGAAACTTTCCCCCTGGTGTTGAGGAGATGCTTGATGAAGGTTTCAAAGTTGGTTCAAGCCAAAACCAGGGAAGATTCTCACCTCCACCTTCCCGCTGTTCCTGCATCGGTTAGATGGTCTTCCTACTCAGGTCTGGAGACGGCGGTTCTTATCCTACAGAGGAGAGTTACCCTGGCGACCTAATCTATGGAAATAGGCACAGCTGTCAGATTTTAGTCCCCCCCTTTCCTTCGAGTGTATGTATTATTAATATTATTGTTGTTATTATTATATTATTATTTTTTAATTCATCAGTCTGCGAGTCTCTACAGTCAGCAGAAGCAAATGGGCAATATTTGTCCTGGGCGCCCGGTGTCACCGCCAGGAACTCGATGTCACCGCGGGGAGCCGTGTTCCGTGCCTGGCCTGGCCGCGGCAGGGCCGGCACAGTTGTGGTAGCTCTTCTACTGTACTTAGACCAGCCTTCCTTCCATGACTGGAGAACCCACGGGAGGTAGTGAGTGTCCTCTGCAGCCAGCATGGGAGCAGCTCGGAGCGGGACGCCAGTGTGTCCCTGCCAGTGCCCAACCAAGCAGTGAGAGGGGCCAGGGCCTCCCAGTCATGCACCGAGCGCAGGGACCCTCCAGATGGCAGCCATCAGCGAGCAAGCTCTTCTCAAAGTCTTCCTGTTAACCTCCACACCAGCCTAACCCCGTTGTGTGACTGCCTTTTGGAAAGAGAGTAAATAAAATACTACTACTGGTTATGAAACTACACGTGCGAGATTAAGAAAAGAAATAACCTGCAATACAGGGTTGATGCTTGAAGATAAAACTTGCTGTTTCTAGTTTCTTAAATAGCCTGTGCCCCACCTAGGTGCAAAGAGGCAGGTTCTATTCCCCCCACCCCCATGAGCATCCTGTGCAGGCGATCGAATCCCCTGGCCATAGCTGCCAGCAGTGGAATGAAATCCTACTGTAGCTGAGTATCTGTTCAGCACCTACCCTCAGCGAGACCTCTGGGACACCCGAGCCCTAGCAAGGCCCTGGGCTCCCTATGCTGTCCGCCACTTGAACCCTTTTGCCTCACCCCAGGGGAGGCATTCCCACGCCCAGGCCCCTGCCCTTCACGACCCCCCTGCTCATGTGCTGACAAGCACACCCAGGCCTTCACCTGTCCAACCACCCAGCTTCAGCAGAAGACGAGTACATCCTCCTGAGAGAATGAAAAGTGACTGTTGTTGCATATAAAAGGAAAAAGGCTGAGGTATAGATGACTTCTAACTGTATGGGGAGTGTGTGGACTAGTTTTCTAAATGAGGTTTTATTGAGTCTAGAAGAATGAAAGTCAGAACCAATGATCCCTTGCCTAACTTTATTAAGTGTGGTCTGCTTGTGAAAACTAGTTCATACAGCCCTGAATATTTTTTTTTAATTATTACTGTTGATTTTGTTATTTGGGAATTTTCATGTTTTTGTTCCTTTGCAGCTCCCCACACTAAAACTCGCAATATTGTTTGTGGGGGAGAAGCCATGAGCGACTACGCTGCCGTGAGATGTAGCAGTAATCAGCTCCCAGCAATGTAGCCGGGACTGCAGCTCGCAATAATCACTATTGATTTAAAGCTTTATTTAGCCTTTATCTATATCCTCATAGTCAACAAGGTCTTGCCACATTTTACTAGTGAGATTGAGAAATGTATTATTTGTGTGTTGTTCCCCCTCCCCACCCCAATATTAAACTGTGAAAATTGTGATTTGTTTAAACTCTGGGTGAATCATAGCTTAGTTTGCATGTCCGGCTAATTTGTTTCTATACATTTTGTTTGATTCTCTTTTTTTCCTTCTCTCAGGGCTTTTACAAAAGATAAAAAAAGAATATATATATAAACGTATATATATATGGATCTTCTGAAAAGTTTTTTGAGGTGCAAGTTCTCCTTTGTTGTTTTTTCCCCCTTCTTCATTGATTAATGAGCATAATGTTAAGACTCAATCACTACATTAAACACGTGACTGTGAAAGCAAAACAAACCCCCTGGAGGACCAGTTTCCCAGACTCCTCGGGGGGAAGCTAAGCAGCAGAAAGGTTCGCTGACGTCTCTCCTCTCCAAGAAGGAAGTTGATCCTAGTAATTTCAGCCCATGCATTAAACAGGAAACAATAATAAATGTGTAGAATTACTCATATTTTTCTAAAGGGAACTTTAAAAACTGCTGCTACATGTTGTGTACAAAACCGGTTGATGCCACACGAACAGAGAATCACACGTTTGGTTTTGGTACTTTTGTTTCTCCTCTTGTTCAGTTGTATAGTACTTCCAAAGTTCAGAATGAAAAGCTGTTCTGTATCAAACCATCTAAGCAATAAACCTTGTATTTTAAAATTGTAGCTTGCCGCTTCCATGGCTGTTCTGTAATTCGCTGTGATGCTATCGTTCTGCCCCACCCCAGGCTTACAGCCCTTGCACCAATAGGCAGTCCTCAGATGTCACCGGCTGGGCCTGCTTCCACTTGCATGAGCAGCTGGAGGGGCTGGGAACCAGGCTGGCTTCCTTAAATAGATGATTGCACATGGCTGCCATTTGGGGGACTGTCCTGGAAGACCGTGTGGAAAGTTACCAAGGTACAAAACGATGATCCTGGCTCTGGAGCGAGAAACTTCACCCTGATGGCTGCACAGGGTTGGTCTCTTGTGAGGCCAGCAAGGTGGAGCTTCCAGCGTAAGAGGCCAAAGGTGAATCTTAGGGGACACTCAGTCCGCTTCTGCAGCCAGCAGAGCTAGGCAGTATGCTATCTGGAAAACAACTTCTAAGACATCCGTTGTATGTTGTTTTCCTCTACAACCAGTTAGAAGGGCTTGGGTTACCAGATGGAACCATAACTCAGACCCTGTGCAGGAATGCTGACGAAAGTGAGGCAGTGACTGCCTGGCAAGGGGTGGGCATGACTAAGGGTTGATACAGTAGCATATGGGCAGAGCTGTGTCCTAAAAATGTTAGATGCTGTCGAGTACGACACGTAGTGACCCTATGAACAACATACCTGAACGCTGGCCTGTCTTGTGCCATCCTCACAATCTCTGACACACGAGCCCATCACTGCAGTCACTGTGTCAGTCCATCTTGTAGTCCTCTCTTTCACCGACCCTCCACCTTTCCAAGCATCTTGTCCCTTTCCAAGAAATTGTCTATCCTAACATGCCCAAAGTAATGAGACAAAGCTTCACCAACCTTGCCTCCAGGGAGCAGCCTGGCTGCGTTCCTACCCCATCCCCACCTGCAATAGAAAGTTAAAACTCACTGTCACCAAGTCTACTCTTCTTATAGCAACCTTGCATCTGGTCTCTGAGCCGCTAAACATGTATAGGAAGAGACTGCCCATGTTTCTCCCATGAAGTGGTTAGTGGATTCGAATTTCCAAAACAACTCAACACTACAGTGACACCTCCAAGGAGTGAGCAGTGATGAGGAAGTTTGGAGATGGTGCTCCACCGTGCTTCCAAAAGTCGAGTTACAGCAGGTGGTGGGCTGAAGCCCTCCCACCCCAGCCCCAACCAATTGGCATCAAGTTGACTCTGGCTCCCAGTGACTCTTCAGTGTCACAGAACTGTGCAACATAGAGATTTCCAAAGTGGATCGCCATGCTTTCCTTCTGGGGAGCCTCTGAATAATTTGGGGATGAAATTAAGCATCTCACAGCACATGAAACCAAACCACTGCTTACAAACTTGATTGTTGTTAGGTAAACCACTATGATTTACAAGAACACTCTAACAGGTCAAAACTGCCCTGCCCTGCACAATCCTCACGGTCTGTGTCATGCTCAGACTCAATGTCACTTTGTCAGTCTGTCTCGTGGGGCCTTCTTCCCTGTCTCTGGCTCTACACCTTTGCCAGCATAATGTGTTTTTCCAAAACCTGGCCTCTCCTGGCAAATGACCCAAGTATGTCAAGTATGTGAGATGAAGTGTTACTGTCCTTGCTTCTAAGGACCATTTTGATCAAGATAGCTTGCTTTGTTCTTTCAGAAATCCAGTCCTCGACAACACAATTCAAAGGCATCAATTCTTGGGTCTTCCTTAGTCATTGTCCAACATTCACATGAACAAGAAGAAAATGGATAGTACTCTTTTCTTGGAAGTTCCATTTTCTGCCACTTGGTTTTTTACCTTATGAATGAAGAGCCAGGGACAGCCCCTTGTGGCTGTGGTGATAAAAAAGGACAATTGTCCAAATGTTCCACATTCCTTCCATCCTTACATAGCAAACCACCACCCTGAGGCCTGCATTGTCTTTGGGGAGTTCAGATGGGGAAAAGAGGTGATTCATTGAAAAATAATACTTATTGAATTGAACAGGTTTGTACAGACCAGAACAGGCCTCACCTCCATGGGGTAGACTTGGGACCCAGGACCAGGTCCTCTGCAGACCCTCAACTTCAG